GGGGGGGGGGGGGGATTTTTTGAAAAACTCAAATGATAGGGAAATTTTGGAAAAACCCGCTGGCCAAAAAAAATACAGTGGGGAAATTTTTCAAAAAACTTTTTTGCGTGGGGGGGAAATTTTTGGATTTTTGGAAGATTCTGCACCTCTGGTGTGGTGGACCCTCTGCAGAGACCAGGCAAATAAACGCGTTTGAACACGTTTTCTTAAATACCTTTCCTACTTATCTGTTTGATAATGTCTCCTGTTTTGTCTGAACAAAAAAAATTTTTTTACATGTTTCCTAGTAATACTATAGGTAGCGTTTCGCGAAAAAAATGATGAACATCAAATGATTGGTTGTTAGTATTAACTAATACAAAAAATTAATAGATATTGTCATAGTATGATCAGCCATAAAGGATATAAAGGTATGTCCTTAACTTTAATGTCTAGCCTGTTTATTAGTTATTGTTTACGTACAGAAATAGAAGTGCATTTTAAAAGAAAAGATTTCTTTCTGATAATGATCAATATATAAAAGGTCATTTAACAATAAGATTAAAGATTACGCAAATAAGGCCCCGAACAGACTGAAAAAAATAAAACAAATTAAGCAACGTGATTGGTCTATATCGATTTAAATCGTCTTTTTGAGACGATTTATTCGTTAATTCCGTTTTAATTCACTTTGAATTAGTCGGTCTGTTCGGGGCCTAAGACTCGAACATAAATTTGAAAAAACACTATACCATGAATTAGATTTAATAAAAATCAATGAAGACTCTATGAAATGGAATCTATCATTTGTGAGGAAAATAAAACTTATAAAAGTATGTTTTAAATATTTTTTCCATGTTAAAGTTTATAAATAGGTTCTCATCAAGTCGGACATCAGTTCAAATATCAATACCTAGTTGCATACTTCATAGATACGAAACATCCTATCTTAAAATTTGCCTATTTATGTTTTAACTTTCATGAGACAATATACTAACATAAAAAAGCTTAGTTTTGTTTAGTAAGTGAATTATAGTGTACAGAAGATGCAAGTAGTAACCTAGTTTCAAAGGAAAAAAAAATAAGTCAAGTTGTATTTAACATAGACTCGTATCAAAATATTTTTAGGCTTGTGCACGCGTTTAAACTCGTAAAAGGAATAGCGACAACAACAGAAAAACGCGTAAATTTTGAAAAAAATGACAGGTTTTGACACGTTGTAGATGGGTTACGTGTTTTAACGCTTTTGAAAATGGCATAATAATGCCGTTTCAACGATACTACTTCGTTTAAACGCTGTTATTACGGAATCTAAACGTGTTTAAACGCATTATTTTTTAACGTTTGTCTGCCTGGGTAGACAAAACTCAACGTATTGAAAGAATGTTTGTTTGATTAATTTATTTTTCAAAATGAAAAACTAAATTCAATTCAACCTTTTAAATAGAATCATTTTACCACTGCAATAAAGATCTTTATAAATTCATATTTAAAATAGATATTTTTAATTATTCATATTTATTATGAAAACAAAATCGAAACCTTGAAAATAATATTCATTCATCTATATCAGTCTTTTGTTTTATAGTATTATCGCAAAAAATGACGCATTGTTCATATTCAACTAACTCATCATTTTTGTTATCTGATTGATATTAATATTGTAAAGGTTTCAAACATCGATCTATGCGTCGAAGTATCTTCCATGTGATTGAAAAAACTGAATATCGATATTATTTGGTTTTAGCGAAAATCATTCTAAAGTTAAGAAGTTTGAAAATACTTAAGCCTTGTTTAAGATGTTGGTACACGAAAGATAAACCATTCGAACTTCTATTTTTGATCGATTTATCTGTGAAACAAATAAAATAATTCTAAAGAATGTTCATCTCTATGATAAAATTTTAAAAAAATTTATTAATTATATTAAATCCGATAATGAATGAAATTCTAATTAATATAGACTTCTGAATTAATTTTATTTATTTTTCTCAGGAATTTTTCAATATTTATACTTAATGAAAGTACCCAAGAGGCACAAAATTAAATCATTTATATTAATATAGTAGAATTATTTTTGTAGAATATCTATATTTAATAACAATAAACAAATAGAAACTTTTTCAAAAGATATAAATAAGGTATATTTTTGAAAAACATTTAAAAAAATCTGAACAAAATTTAAATTGATAACTAAATGTTAAATTAGAAAACGAAACCATTAAATAATATTGAGAATAAAATAAATTTTAATTACGTGAAATTATTGAAAGAAAATTCTTGAATTTTTTTATTAAAATATTTGTTTAACAATTTTCTTATTGATTCAATTGTGATTTATTTTCAACCATGAAACATTTTTTCAAATTAATTTCTCATGTATCAATACATAACTTAACAATCATATATATTTCTTCATTGACTTCGTATAAAATACCCTTTTATTTTATGTCACTCAAAAAAATAGAATAAAAATAGATGGTGAAGAAAAAAAAAAACAGTTTTCTTTATTACGAATAAGGATGATACGAATATTAAACCGAACATATTAATATCGATTATCCAGTTATCATTAATATTTATTTATAGTCAGACGAACGAAAAAAAGAAAAAGAAAAAACTGTTTTTTTCTCTCCAAGGATATAACCTTATTTGCTATCGATCAATAGGGCTAATCACGTGTATAGAGGTAAAACTTTTCATAATACGTCGATTTTCTCTCTGTATATCAAGATAAGTCACTTTTTTTTTCATTCGTTTACAACTATTTACAGGAATCGAATGAAAAGAAAAAAAAATTTTGTTTTCAAATTTATATATTAAAATATAAATCGAATGAAAAGATAAAAATGATTGTTAAATTGATTAAAATCGAGTAAATATTTGTTATTTTTACTTTAAGATAACAAAATGTTAAATATAAAAGAATGAATGCCAACGATCCAGGACATATAAGTAAGCAATTTAATTAATCAATTAGTTAGTTAAATAAATAATTATTAATTTAGATAATCTTAATAAAGAGCAAGAAGCAAATCTAAAAAGTTTTTGGATATCTGTTATTGATAAAATAACGAGTGAAAATAAAATCTTATTAGAAAACTTTTATGATTCAAATTATGGAAAAGAATTATTTTATGCATTTACTTATGATAATCCAGATGTTGTTTTACTAAGATGGCTTCGAGCAAGAAAATGGAATGTTAATCTTGCTTTAGAACAACTTATGGATACATTAAAATGGAGATTTCAATGGGGTGTTAATCAACTTGTTGCTAAAGGAGAATCAGAACTTTCTAATGAAGAAATTCTAACAGGTAAAACATTCTATATTGGTTATGATCGGTCTGGCCGTCCAATAAATTACGTTTCGGTAAAAGATCATATAAAAGGTCAATTTCCAGCAGAAGCAACAGAAAAATTAACTGTACTTTCCATGGAAATAGGACGAAAATTATTACATAGTCCAGTTGAGTCTGTAACAGTTATTTTTGATATGGCTGGTTTTTCACTGAAAAATATGGATTATCAACATACACATTTTCTTTTACATCTGCTACAGAATTATTATCCGGAATCACTTGGTCTTGCACTTATTGTAAATGCTCCTTGGCTATTCAATAGTTGTTGGTATATTATTAGACGATGGTTAGATCCAGTTGTTGAAAGTAAATTTCATTTTATTAGTAATCTTGATGATTTAACTACATATATTGACCCATCAAATATACCAAAACGATTAAATGGTGATAAACCAGATTTTAAGTACATACCACCAACAGAACATGATAATATTATGTTAGCTGCATTTCGTGAAGATTTTTATGGAAATAAAAAAGCTACAGAAAATCATCGACAAGCTGCACTAAACTATCTTCGCATAACTTATGAATGGGCAAATAAAAAACATGATAAAAATATAGTAGAACAAAGGAAAAAAGCGATGAAAGAATTGCGAGATGCTTATGAACAAGTTGTACCATATATAAGTACTCGCACACATTATCATAGAAATGGATTAATTGATGAACCAATATTTGATATAGCTTATCAAAAACTTCAACAAGAAGATCAACAAGTTGTTCATTTCTAATATTATTCTTTTTCATGAATTGTTTTCATTTTCATTCAGGAAATTCTTTCGTTAAATTTTTATTTTTTCAATGTCAAAAATTTATTTTATCAAAAAAGATCATCAGTAAAATGAATAAATGATTATCTTGATATATAAAGTCATCTAACAGAGAATATTTATCGTTAGAAGAACATGAAAATAAACAAGCTAAACAATTTCATATTAATCTACTCAAATATAAATGCTCGGAAACAAACATATATTAATAAGAAAAGTATGCAAAATGTTTTCGCAACATAGAGCTCATGTTCTGCTCACAAATAGACCTCACTATCGATAGCCAAAGCTTGAAAGGATTCGTGTCTATTGGCTGCTGAAGCCTACTCATGACCATTTCACTGGATTTTCGATTTAATGCAAGGCATTTATGGAAAAATTAAACGATGTTATTGTGACCTAAAAATTTTACCACTTTATGAGAGAAATTTCAGGTAAAAATAACATCGTTCAATTTTTCCATGAATGTCTTGCATCAAACCGAAAATTCAGTGAAATGGTTATAAGTGGGCTTCGGCAGCCAATAGGCACGAGTCCTTTCAGGCTTTTGCTAGTGACATTGAGATCTACTTGTGAGCAGAAGATGAGCTGTCAGTTGAGCGAACACTTCGGGTACTTCCCTTGTCAACCGAATCCTTTAACAATCGTAATGATTCATTGACGACTTGACCAAAATAATCTTGCTCTTTTTGTCCTGAAAAAAGAACACAATGTCAACCATCAATACCTGGGTGGATTTCCAAATATGGAAGCCAAGAATATTCAATCAAACATGCATGTTGACAGACAGATCGTAAGTCTCTCGTTTGATCGATTTTGAAAAAAAATTTAGTTTGATGATGAAATCTATGTATCAATTATAGAAGGTTTAATGATGAAAAATCTTTCACAGATCATCTTTTTGCAACATATAATCCAACATCATCGGCATTGGTTTATGTGGGGTGGTAGTTCTACAATTTTGATGAATAGTAAATGGGTGACAAGCCGTGCCGAGTTCACCATTGGTTCCAAATTCTATTGTTTAGTTATCATCAATCACACATAGTTGATTCGTTCTTAGTTGTTGTGACAAATTTCCACCTCGATCATTCTTAAGTTTCTTATTGGAGACGAAGGATGTGCTAATACCTTTTCGTTTTTTGTTTGTAGTTTTGCTAAAATTTTTAGTGAGAATATAGGATTATACTATTGGTAATAGAACGTAACAAAACAATATGTATATAACAGTAAAAATAGCCAAATTGATTAAATCATTTAAACTTTCATGGAGTCTTTGAAAAAGGAATTTTTTTCGAAAAAAAATCAAAATTTTGGAAATCTGAAATGCATGTGTTTTAATATGATGGCATATATTATCTAAAATAATGTTAACTTATGAAATCTTGATTCATTATCTCTTTATTTGACGAAATGTGAACAGAATTGTATGTACTACAGGAGAGATCATAATTTTTACTGCAACATATACATAAGCTCATTTGATATAATTTGAAACTTTTTTCCAGTCCAATTTCCTCGAAAAAATTCCTGAAGAGTTTCTAGTGAATTACGACATGTATTCCGAAGGGAGTTATTATAGAATTTGAAGAAACTTTCTGGAAAATAATAAAAACTAGAATCGATCCTTGTATTCGTTTTTCACTATAGTTCAGCTTTGTTTTTGGTTTTATCAATCGAAATCATTTTATACTAAAAAGTTTGTCATTCTTTCAAAGACTTTCCTATCTCTATTGCTCAATCAACATCATCTCAGTAGACGAGTTGCTTGACTCAAAAGTTAACTCACATTCAAACAATGAGTTGATACCGAAGGAGCTCGTACAGAAATATTAATGATATTTATCACTTAGAAAAGACATTAATCTAAAACAAAGCAACTGTTTCTTTTTAAATCTTCACTGTCTTACATATTTTTATAGGCAGAAAACAAAACGGTGAATGTATTGCTGTAATCTCTTATGAACTTCATCGAAAGCCTTCGCAGAATCATCGGGGAGTACTCTGATATTTTACTAGAGAAAGTGGACAAATACTTTGCTGTGTGATAGCCGAATAATGCAAAGTTTTGACAGCATCTTTCGAGTGATGAAAGCATGAGCTTCTTAGTTGTTGTTCGAACTAAAATTGAATAGATTGTGCAATAGCGAAGGATGCATTTTGAAGAATTAGTGGAAAAAACCCACTGCTCTCTTTAATAAATGAACTTAAGAAGAATTCAATTCAACAGTACTATATTTGTATGTTAGCAAACAAGACGGATTTATTGTATTTGAGATTTTTTAAAATAAAAGCTTGTTCGTGTACTCGCATGAAAGACCAAAGTATAAAACTTACAAACTTTGACTATTGTACATTTATCACATATTTTTAGAGATTCAAATAATTTATTTGCTTATCAAATTTATTATCCATATAGTAAATAAGCAACCAAATTTGATCTTATATTCTATTAGGATAATAATGAATGTTATGGATTGAATGTATTTAAAAAAAATATCACGACAGAAGAAATCTGTACTTAAATCATACATTAATTGTTAATACGTTCATGAGATTTTTTTTTTAAATATTCTAATAACGATATTTGTAATTGTGTGCATACATTCTTTATTCAATATCTGTAGAATATCTTTTTTTAGTATTATTAATAAGCATAATATGTTCAATATAATATTGTAAGTTGCGATAGACCTTAATTCTAGATACAACATAATAAACGACAACATTATAAAAGATAAAAAAAAGCTTCATTCGAATCAATTAAGTGAATATTTTTTAATTTAAAAGAAAACGAAAAACACTACATAGAATATCATTTTAACATATATTGATCGAAATGTAATTTATAATTAATTTAATGATTTGAAAAGATCATTTTATTGTATAAATGACTCAATAAAATATCTATTATTAGAATATCATCAATAATAAAATGATATAAATATAATGATAAAAGAATCTATTTTGTAAATAATTGGTTGAATATGAATATGCAAATGTCATATGATGTTTGTATCAATAGGAAATATATCTATGGACTACAGAATATTAATCATTGAAGCGTAACATCATATACTCGATTAGAAAGAGAAAAAAAAAGCATTCATTAACTGTATTGATAAAATATATCTAGACGTTGTTTACTTATCATGGAAGTTAACAAGTTGAATGACATTGATAATAATAATCTTCCTACTATTCGAGTAGCTGGTGTACCTGAACATTTTAATGAGCCATGGAAAATTGGATTAGAGGAAAATTTATTTAAAAATCAAGGTATTAATATTGAATGGTATTCAGTAAAAGAAGGTACAGGTTCTATGATTAATAAATTAAAATCAAATGAAGTTGATGTTATTGTTGCATTAACTGAAGGTTTAATTAATGATATTGCGAATGGTTCTGATATTCGTCTTCTTGGTACATATGTTCAATCTCCATTAGTATGGTCTGTTAGTACAGGTGCTAACTCAATTTATAATTCAATTGAAGATTTAAAAGGTGAAAAATTTGGTATAAGTAGATATCAAAGTGGTTCGCATTTAATGAGTTGTGTTCTTGCTAATCAATATGGTTGGAAACAGTCCGATATACAATTTATTATAAATAATAATTTTGATAATTTAAGAAAATCAGTTAATGATAATACAACAGCAGCTTTTATTTGGGAATATTTTATGCAAAAACCATATTATGATAAAGGAGAAATTCGTCGAATTGGACAAATTATAACACCGTGGCCTTGTTTTATGATTGCTTCAACAACAAATTTTATTAGTAAACATTTACAAAATATTGAAAAAATGTTTATGGCTTTAGAAAAAGCTTGTTCATTATTTCGAACAAATTCAATTAATTCAATAAAAAGAATTTCAATAAATTATGGTTTAAATGAAGAAGATGCTCAAGCTTGGTTTAATAAAGCTGTTATTATTCCATCAAATACAATATCAGAATCAACTATTGAAACTACAATTGATGCACTTAAAACTGCTCATCTATTAAATAATGAAAATATAATAATTGATCCAATTAAATTTATTGATACAAGTTTTGCCAAATTAACAGTTGATATTAAATCAATGCGTCTTTATAATAAACCAGAATTATTAATAACATTACGAAATAATTTACGTGTTGTTGGATTATCAAAAGGACCTATTTCTTATACTGATTTACTTCCATTTGATCAAAATCATTATTATGGTACAGAAGTTTTAGATTTAGCTGTTAATGAACTTCAACTTAATCAACATGATCAAAATTCAAATTGGATTATTCAAATTGGATCGAATTTAGCTGGTTGTGCAAGATATTTAGCTGGAAAATATCATTTAAAAGTTTTAGCTGTTGAATTACAAAATGATCTTTCACAAGCAGCAAGTGAATTAACTGAAAGATGTCACTTAAATAATTTAATACATCATATAGCTGGAAATTTTTTAAATGTTGCTGAACATTTACAAGAAAATTTTTATTATGCTATTGTTAGTTGGATAACAATTTTACATTTTACTCAACATGAAAGAATTCGTTTAATTAATCAATCATATCGTTTACTTAAACAAAATGGATTTTTTTATTGCGAAGATTTTATTCGTATCGGAAATGTAACTTATGATGAATCAATTATTTTAGAACATGATCTTTATTGCAAATATTTACCAACAATTGATGAATATAAATCAGTATTAATTCAAGAAAATTTTCAAATAATTAAAGTTGTTGATTTAAGTGATGATTGGAGAATATTTACTAGTGAAAGATTAGAAAAATTTCGTCAAAATAAAGATGATTTATTAAAAATTCATGGAGAAGATATTTATAATCGCTTAGAATATTTTTATGCATCTGTTGCAAAACTTTTTATGGGAAAGAATGTTGGAGGTGTTAGAATTGTTGCAAAAAAACAATCAACAGATGTACAATAATTACCTTTTTATTCTTAAATATAATCA